TATATATGTATATATATATATGTGTGTGTATATATATATATATATATATATATAACGAATAAATAGATAAATAGGCCAATACGAGAAATATATTTTACTTAAATAATAGATTAAGAAAATGAAAGAAAAACTGCAACAAGTAGTATGCAGAGTTTTGGTTCATTGTTGTGCTGCGTGAAAGGAAACAGACGGTAGAAAGCGGCATCCTATTTTTTTAGGCTTATTTTACAAGAGCACAAAAATTTGTTTTTATTGTGAATGTACACAAATAAAGGGCAAACCTTTTACATTTCTGATTATCTTTATGACTAAAAGGAGTAGTTTCTTCCACTATTAGAAGGAAAAAATTCAAGTGATTGTGCCGGCGCCGCATGCGTGCACACAGTTAAGCTTTGCTACCTTGACAATGAAGACTGTTCATTATCATAATAAAATACAGTCAGTGAAACATATAGAAAAAAAAATGTGTAGTAAAAAATATGTAGTAAAATCTGTGCCGTTAAGTGTTATCACCGTGCCCCCGTGATGTTATGCAAAACATTTTGTTTTACGTGGATATTGGAACGCGAGTGAAGTAGACTACATAATAAATAATAAGTTGGCATTCAAATACATCGCGGATACGGAAACATTTGATTTTGTGTCGAATGAGAGACCCAACGTTGGTTTCAGTTTCGTTTTAGCCTAAATTAATTTGTTTTGGCTTGTCGTTTATATTGCTATAGCCTAGCTTCTAATATTTTTAATTCTTGTTCTTTTCTAAATACTGTTAATTGAAAGGATTTGTTGTGGAGTGAGGGGAACTAAAACAGCCTAGCTATGTTTACAGTATTTATTATAATGTTTGTAAACATTTCGCGTCGGCATTAGGCCTATTTCTGAATGAAATAATAAAATGTGACTTATACGCGACTTGTTTTTTTTTCTCTAAAAAACAAAAAAAATTTATACGCGCGTAGCATATTTTAACCATGCAGCAAACCTTTTTAAATATTTTGATAAATTACTGAAAAAAATAAATAAATGACTTTTTAAACCGTTTAACTGATTGTATTAATCGGTCAAAATTCTTACGGTCGGTTAATGGTTAACCGGTTAAAATGAACATCCCTAGTTTGCACCTGTATCTTTATTTGTGCATCTTTGAAGTACATGATTGTTAGTTAATAAGCGGGGATTATGATGTGTTTATCTAGGACACGCTTTAATGACATATTTGTAATGTACATCTTATTTTTAATCTTTATTGTTAATCATTAAATGTACTGTAGATTGATAAGAAAAGTGATTTATATATGTAAAAATGTGTGGAATTGAATTCAGTGATGATAGACAGTGTGTTGCAATCTTTTGTATTTTTGTACTTTTATACACACTCAAAATTAAACACTCTTCTCAGACAGCATCCCAAGCTTGTAACGCACATGGTATCAGTCACAGCCTATCCTACATGACTAGCCTAATAAAAATCAGAAATAAATGCTACATAATTTTATTTCAAACAAATGAGGAAAATAAAGTGAGTTGAATCCACCTGCGCTTGCGGAGTTGAATGCTCTGATGTTAGACCATTTAAACATTAATTACACAAACAAAATGTTTAGCGTACGGTCTCTGGAAAAAAAAATCAACAGTGATTGAGTATCCTATATATATTTATTTATTGTAGACATTATTACGAAGCGAAGCAAAATTTGCTGAAATAGCCTGTCCACAACCTACAAGTAGCACATGGTTTATCTGTCGATCAGATGCACGGCAAAGTTGTGTTCGTTACTATAGCAACAGTAGACTCACGATGCATTGTGTTTTAAAAATCAAAAAACCATTGTAAAAAAACAACTTTTGTTATGTCGAGATCACAAAAAATAAGTTGTGATAACGAGAAAACAACTTTTATGTCGAGATCACAAAAAATAAGTTGTGATAACGAGAAAACAACTTTTATGTCGAGATCACAAAAAATAAGTTGTGATAACGAGAAAACATTATGGCGAGATCACAAAAAACAAGTCGTGATAACGAGAAAACAACTTTTGTTATGTCGAGATCACAAAAAACAAGTCGTGATAACGAAAAAACAACTTTTGTTATTTCGAGATCACGAAATCACGAGAATCTTTTTTATGTCGAGATCACAAGATAATTAAGTCGTGATCATGAGGAAACAAGAAAGAAAAATCATCATAATCCATGGCCTCTTAGCAGGGACAGACTGGGAGTAAAAAGCGGCCCTGGATTTTCTGCCAAGTAGGCTCACCACAACTACAAACAGCCACTAACTACCTCACAATATTACAGCAATCCTATCGTATTTATGGCAAATAACATCACAAAACCCATGGTGACCCTGCTGACAAAAACAATAGAAACCATCATTCTAATGATTTTCACTACAAATACCATTACAAACCATCAGCTTTTAACCATTAAAACCATTAAAAAATGGTTTCCTGTAGTGTGTTTTGGGACATATTACATTAGGATTTAGTGGCTTTAACAAAAGCCATGACTAGAAGGTGGCCAATTACTAGTAGAGACCAACAGGCACCATTACAGTTTCCATTTAAACCAATACAATTTTCATTATAACCAGTAAAACCATTACAAATTATGTGAAAGAGCAGAACGCAAAATGTATAATATGACACTAATGATAAACATAGACCTAGAGTCTAGAAACCTGAAACAACAGATTTCTTCAATTTGAGTATTCATGTCTCTGTCTCTGTGTGTGTGTGTGTGTGTGTGTGTGTGTGTCATGTTAATCAGACTAATCACCTTAGTGGCTACTTCTTTTACTCTATTTTCTAACTCAATAGCTCTCAAATGTAATCCGTTGTAGAATTGCTGCTGTCTCTTTATGAATTAATGGAATATTCATGCCAGACAATGCGGAGTGATAAAACAAAACCAGTCCTAAATGAAAGAAAAGAAGTTGACAAAAAGATTGAATCCAATCTTTGGTGATAATATAGCATAATGAGTGATTTATAAGCAATTTTTTGAGGGAGTACCCTTTTTGCTCTGTAACCTCGTAAGTGTGATAGGGTTCTGAACACAACACAAGGGTTAAAGTGCACTTTTTCTTTTTGGAATTTTCAGTGTGAACACACTTGCTCTATTCATACTAAAAAACGTCATAGAATAGTGCACAAGTATACAGTATACAACACCCCATCAGTTATATTCAGTTCTGTACTGCCACGTGTTGGCGTAGTTGTGTAACGTAGAGAAAACCTTTGTTATGTTGAGATCATGAGAAAATTAAGTCGTGATAACGAGAAAACAACTTTTGTTATGTCGAGATCACAAAAAACAAGTCGTGATAACGAAAAAACAACTTTTGTTATTTCGAGATCACGAAATCACGAGAATCTTTTTTATGTCGAGATCACAAGATAATTAAGTCGTGATCATGAGGAAACAAGAAAGAAAAATCATCATAATCCATGGCCTCTTAGCAGGGACAGACTGGGAGTAAAAAGCGGCCCTGGATTTTCTGCCAAGTAGGCTCACCACAACTACAAACAGCCACTAACTACCTCACAATATTACAGCAATCCTATCGTATTTATGGCAAATAACATCACAAAACCCATGGTGACCCTGCTGACAAAAACAATAGAAACCATCATTCTAATGATTTTCACTACAAATACCATTACAAACCATCAGCTTTTAACCATTAAAACCATTAAAAAATGGTTTCCTGTAGTGTGTTTTGGGACATATTACATTAGGATTTAGTGGCTTTAACAAAAGCCATGACTAGAAGGTGGCCAATTACTAGTAGAGACCAACAGGCACCATTACAGTTTCCATTTAAACCAATACAATTTTCATTATAACCAGTAAAACCATTACAAATTATGTGATGCTTTCTATTTTTTTTTTTTTTCAACAGAGGTTTGAAATAAATGTATTATTGTATGAACTAAAATACTTGAAATCTACATAAAAAGAGCAGAATGCAAAATGTATACTATGACAATGATAAACATAAATCTAGAATCTAGAAACCTGAAACAACAGAATTCTTCAATTTGATTTGATTTTTATTTGATTTCATGTCTGTGTGTGTGTGTCATGTTAATCAGACTAATCACCTTAGTGGCTACTTCTTTTACTCTATTTTCTAACTCAATAGCTCTCAAATGTAATCCGTTGTAGAATTGCTGCTGTCTCTTTATGAATTAATGGAATATTCATGCCAGACAATGCGGAGTGATAAATAGCAGTGGACGCTCAAACCTGGGATTTTACTATTCTCTATAGTGAGAGAGGTGGGCAAAGGTAACCCGATGTAACTGTTCGCTTTTTTTTCATTTTCGCTTCTCCCAACCACCTTTATCTTCACGTCTTTTGCTTGCCATCACGAGCCCACTCTCCTTCGCGTCAGTTTCGGTTTCTTATAAGCAAAAATAGATTGCCTTAGCGCCCCCTTTTGTCAGCCATCAACGTCACTTAATCTGACACTTTTTCTTTGATGATGAACCAGCCAGGCCGATGGCCAGTCCGCCCCTGCCTCTTAGGACTTCTGTAGTATCTTTCATCTTTTTTTTTTCTCTCCCCGTCTGGTTTGTAGGAACCCAGGGGATGACAGCAAGATGCTGGTGTGTGACATGTGTGATAAAGGCTATCATACCTTCTGCCTGCAGCCCATCATGGACACAATACCCACCAACGGCTGGAGGTGCAAGGTAAGCTTGAATTTGTGTATGGACTACAAACAGCATTGTGACAGTGATGCTGGCCTGCTGTGAGTACAGTGACACAGTGCTTTCATTTCCACTTTGAGTCTGTAACGCACAACACACACACACACCTCTTTCTTTTTGGTGTGTTTTTGGTCTGTGGGATTGAAGAGTGTGTTGGTTTTCATCTCACCAGCATACTGTATATTCCCTCTGGAATAATGCTGGAGCTTGATTTAATCACCATGATGAATTCATTACCTCCAAAACACTTTAGTTTAATTATTCCTTATGTGCATGCTGTGCTAGGTTTTGATGCACTTCTCCTTAAAGACTGAGCTGCGTGAGTGAGTTGTGGAATAGATGTTCATCTTGACTATAGAAGTTTTGTATTTTTCCACATGTATTTTCTCCATAGGGATTTTAAACTGTGAACCAAACCAGTTCGCTCCCAGATGAATTGGAATATAACAAACTTTGATTTGAATCAAAAAATGTTTGACTGATGGTCTTAATTGAATCAGAGGGTGCAGTACAAAACTCTTAACTATAAGTCAAGACTGATAAGTGTAAAAAGCTCAATGCATTTTAAGTAATTCTGAAAATATTCAAGTTGTAAGAGGCCTGTAAGGAAACCGTCTCATACATAACATACACTTCTTACAATTTGAAAACCCACTTAAGATTGTCAAAGGCCCTATGGAGTGTCCATAGAAGCAACAGATGGTCCATGAAAAATACTTTCCTAAAATATGTTTGTAGTCAGATTGTTAATAGACCCCTAAATATCCTGCTTATGTGAAAGAATAGAAAAGTTACACACAGATCCCTCTCAGACTGCTCCCATCACTTTGTGGAGGTGGCCAAGAAGCCCCACCATTCATCCAGGATTCAGCACAGGAGTCTGTCCATCATCAGAGGCTTGGAAAGGCTTGGATTTCTTGCTAAGGGTCTGTGGGTGGTTATTAGAGCTGATACTTGCCCCTCTTCAGCAGGCTGAAATGCTGCTCTTGATGAGCTTGAAGTGCCTTTTATTTATGTATTTTTTTTAATTGACATGGAATTTTCTGGTGCTTTGCTCCTAGTGAGTGCTGATGCAGACTGATGAACATGATTTTGAGGATTTATAGAGGCGTAATTATGTTGGAGCTCAATCCAAATTGATTTAAGAGAGCCTGCAAAGTTTGTAGTTCGCAATTGTTGTTAGGTTCAAGTGTCATTGTTCAGATGCGAATTGTTGTCAAATAACTAAACAATTTTTAACATTCGTTGTAATACTTGAAGCAGTTGGTCTCCGCAGTACAGCAACAATACTGGCTTATATGAACAATGCACTGGTAGAATTTGCAATACTGTTTACACCACTGTACAGATTATACAGTATATTTATGTATATTTGCTGGCATGAACATATATGTTGGCATGACTGCTTACTTTATATGGATTAGTGAGAAAATACAGAGTGAGACATGTCCGAAACAAATCAAGATGAGGAAGACATTTTTTTTT